AGCCTCTTCTCCAGGGATTCCCAAGGCTGGCCCCAAGTTCTGCAGCTTCTATATAGAGCTCTCAGTGTGTGTGTGTGCATGGATGTATACACATACATACAGTTTGTATGGATCTGTAGCACATGTAGTTTGTATGGATTCTGGATGCAGACTGACAATGTGGAAGGGCACAGTTGCAAGAGGTGTCCCGCAGGTGCCAGAAGGAGGGGACATTCTGCCAAATTAAAGGAATAGGACTTCAAGTAATCCAGTGACTTCCTACTCTCTGTATGTCAGAGGTGTCCCTGTAGTGTTTCACGGTAACAAGCTGCTGATTAAACCTGTGCAGTCACTTTCAAACCACTGCCTCTCTTTTCTTCTCCCCCCCATCCATCCTTCATGGGTGTCTAATAGATGAGAAGGCACTTTCCTCCTGTTGTCATTCAGAAGAACAAACAGAACTATTTCACAGCCCCGGAGATGACACAGATCTCTGCTATCCTGTGGAACACCCCCTCCACCTTCTCAGCACTGAGCTTCCAAAAGCACAGTGTGTTAGTGGCATGTACACACTGGCATCCCTTGAGCAGTAAGAGCTGCTGCAAAAAAGCATCCTGTAGCGTGGAGAAAGCTCTATCAACTCTTTAATGCCTTCCAGCCTTAGGAACAGCCTCTTGGGCTCTTCTGGGGCAATTCATGGTCTCACTAGAAGACAGGGAAAAGAATCAAACCAATCTTCTTTTCTCTTCTGTCCACTAAGAATAAAAACCTTCATGTTTCTGTAACTTCCCTCAGGTTTCTAACTATTTCTACAGGTCCTTGACAACCAAACCTCACAAATTCAGTGTGATGGAGGTGGTCAGTGACTGCACTTGTATCACAGGCTGATAAAGAAGAGAGAACTCAAATAAGGCTCCTGGGGACAAAGAAGAAGGAAGTGACAGAGTCAGGGAAAGAAAGACCTGAGGTGTGTGACATCCAGGTCTTCATCTTTCTGCTATACAACGTCTGTGCTCAATGTTAATGCATGCTGAAGGCTATGCAACATCTCTGTGGCTAATGTCACTCATCAGAAGGAACCTCCAAACTACTCTGAGCAGCTCAGTCACTCTGGGTCAGTGTTCATTAGCCCAGGCCTGTAAGATACCTAAAAGAAAAGATTTTACAAAGGCAATTAAAATAAAAGACCAACTGCCATTGGAGTTTATCCTGCATTCCATATTCCTGCCTGGTGCAGAAGGCCAGCATTGTTAGTCTTCTCTTTCCACAGTGGTACTTCAAACAGATGCTTTCCAGTGTTGAAGGCACTGAATGTGGATACTCTGCCTGCTGCTGTAAGATGCAGAGAGCCAACTGTCCCCCGAGAGGTACTGGGAAGCATGCTGACATGTTACAGATGAAAACTCCAGGTTTTTAGCCCAACAGGCACTGGGATACAGCCATAGTTAGCACAGGAAAACAACTAGGTGTGGGGTACTGCGGCAAGAACAGAACTCACACAAACAACAGAGCAGATTCAGCACACAGGATCCTGCCTCTCCTTTCAGAAATGCTTTAGACACTTTGCAGCACAAGCCTTATTTAGACTATCTACAGCAACAGTGAGGATGGGGGCTGGCTCTTGGTCCCTCCCTCCCCATGAAATAGAGCCCATAGTGAAGAGCAAGAATGGGTAAACCATAGCTACTCTATAGGTTCAGAGATTTTGAATGTCCAAGCAACGCACATCCACGCATCCTGAGCCCAAGCACATGTACAGAGTACTAGTCCTCTTGGATGCTTTGGAAAACCAGATACACATGCAGCAATATTACCTTAGGTACTAGTTTATTTGCATACTGCAACAGGCACAAATTGGATTTGGTCTCTAGTTGAAATAACAATGCATGGAAGAGTCTCCTTTGACTTGTTTCCAGTGGGATATCCAGCTTTTAAGCACTTCAGACACATTAACATGGGGAGCACCTCTATGTATTTATAGCTTCCAACTCCTAAAGTATTTACAGCTATCTACAGCTCTACTCAGTTGTCTGCAGCAGTGCCACGTACTTTAGAACTCAAGAAAACTCTATTCATTTCTTCCTATCAGACCAATTCTAACATTCAAACCCTAGAGTCACCGTGTCAAGGCTTGGCTGACACCAACTCTACACTGCAAAGCTTAACTGCGATTTCAGATGGGAATTAATCTAGTCACCTCTTGTTCCCTAATGGATTTTGATCTACTTCTCCACAGCGGGACGATTTCTGGCATGGGAAGTGATGTCTGTTTCTAAGAAGGCCATAATTATGAAGCCTACAGGGAACTGTAGGTCAAGACAGAGATGCAATGACATAGCTCTTACCAGACCAGAAAAACAGGAATGATGAGGAGCGCTGACACGCTGCAGGAACAATGGCACATCAGTAAGGAACAGACTTGCAGCAAGCAAGATCTGGCTCTGTTTGGTCCTTCTCAAGCTGTATTTTCATTGCTACGGAAAACATCCAGCTAATACCACATCACCCAAACCCAGGAGCAACTGTTCTCAAACACGGCAAGACTGTAGAATCCTTCTGAGTAACAGAAATAGTCACATGTAAGTACGGACTCAGCTCATCCTCTCCTGACTTTGAAGAGGAACCTAAAAGACTTTGGAAAATGGGAGACCTCAAGAAGATATGAAAATCGTGTCCAAAGCCTACACCTCCTCTTTGTAACACAACTGCACGTTTCCCTCTTTCTGGACACCATCTAACATCCAGTAAAATAACAGTAAATAGTAAACAGACAGTAAATCACAGCAACAACTGCCCATCACATTACACACCGCAAGGTGCAAATGTGAGTGTGCTCTTGAAAAGCTTTTCTGACATGAAAGGCCTACTGAGACCTCTTCCAAAGCAAACCCAATATGTCTGTCCCAAGGCAAGATGTGATCAAGAAGAGAGAGAGTCAGGAACGTCACAATGACACGAAGACAAAACCATTGGTTTCACACAGACAGACTCCTGGGTGGCAATAATGAAGCCAAGAAAAGAATGGGTCTTTCATGGATCACACAAGGGGAATATGCTACACAACCAGTGGTTCTGAAGGGAAGATGATATTTTTCCCTTTGGCTGTCCTGACCAGACAATGGGAACAGCAGTGTGAGGATCTCAGACAGACAATGGACACAACAGACAGAGGCACTGTCTGCAGAGCAATGACTGAACTGGAGAGAATCCACAGCAATTATTCCTTTTGGAGGGGGGAATTTTTTGTTGTTTATTTTAACTCCATCAGGAGGGTAAAACCCAACCCTGATGACCCCCCCCCAAGTGATGCTAAAGGACACCCAGCAGGTTCACAGCCACTCGTAACCCATCCCAGCATCCATGATTTTAATGCTTAGGAGGTGCAGGCTGTGCTGTATTAATATGCAAAGTGTGCCTGCCTTCCCAATTAAATGGAAAATGCTATGATTAAAGGCAGTCAGAAGATATTAGATGGATAGTGCTGAACTACGGGCTTTATTTCCTACACACAGGAGCCCCACAGGAGTGCTGATGGAGTACATGCTGGGGAGATTACCAAAGGCAAAACAGAGCTGGGAAAGGAAAAATGCTTCAATACGTAAAAGGGAGAGAAAATGAGGAAGCTGTTTACAGGAGGACTGAATTAACACAGTCCCTCATCCTGGTCTCTCAGACACAGGCCCTCTGAGCCACACATATCTGGAGGGAAACCAAGCACCACAGCTCACAGAAGCTAAATTCTGGCACATCATTTGGAGGGAAGAAGGCCTCAGAAGCAGAGTGAATCACAGCGTAAGGCCCAAAGAGCTCTGCAATTCATAGCTGCACAGCCCTGAGGCAAAGCTCAGAGGGGACGGCCTTTTCCTATGCCCCCTCCTTCCTTGTTAGCATCGGCATGTTGTCCTCTACCACCTATCTGGGATGGGAGAAGAAAACCCAGTACAGCATGCTGGGTAATTTACAGTTCAACCCATGAAGATGAGAAGATAGAACAGGAAACATTAATAACTGACTGTAGAGTTCCCTCTGTCTTACTGCGAAGGGCTTGCTCTAAATCACCCCATGTGGCTTTAACCCTCCCAGCTCCGCTCTGCATCTCAGTCCTAGGCCATGGAGCCCGTTACCCCCACTAACTCTTCCTTCCTGCTGCACCCTGTCACTGCTGCACTCCCTGCCCATGTTTCATGACTTGCATTTAATTAAAAGAGATGGCAGGTATATTTATGGGGACTTCTAATCCCCACACCTGCAGTTGCTATGGGTTTCCTTCCAGAGTTTGCTCTTTCTTCCCTACCCCCACCACGTAACAGGCACCAGAATAAAGTCTAATAAATTCTGCTGTGTAATTGGCTGTATATTTTAGGGGTCCATCTATCCCAGTGCTGTGAAAACAGAGGCCTTCAAAAAATTACAGAAAACCCTGGGGGAGAGAGACCAAAGTGCTTTATTTCCTCCACTGACTGCTTCTAAATTGTTAGAGGTACGAGGCTGGAGTGCTGAGTGGAATAAAGCCAGAGCCAGGGGCAGCTCCCATGTCACAGGGCAGTGCCTGAAGGAAAGCAGCTGCCACAAGTTGCCCCTCTGTCCAAAAGCAGAGCTCACTGTCCTACTTTGCCTGTCTGAGGGCAAGAGAACCACCATAGGGGCTAACCAGAGAGCACTGCAGGCCTGCCTAGTGTGCAGTTCAAATGAGGTGCGTATATTAATGCAGTAACTCTTCAGGTTCTAGTGCTGCTCTCACCTGCTAGCACTCCAAAGACACTGAAAAGCCCATGATGCTCTTTAAATGAGCCACTTCCACCACAGACTCTCCTAGGAAGGCTGGGGAAAAGTCTCCAGGTTTTGAGGAATTACAGAACTTCAGCTGCTCTTTGTCTTTAGGAGGGATTATTTTCAGCAGCAAAGTGCCCCCAGGTGAAGCCACACAGAGGAAAGGATGCAAATTACTTCCAGACTGCCAGCTTAGCTCCAATATGGGTTGGCAGAACCATGTGTAATGATGATGCACGTTACTGACTTACCCTCTGAAGTGCAGAGCTGGTCATAACAGGTAGGATGCAAAGTACACTGGAGTGAGTGGTGTTTGAGGAAGCCTGTGCTGCTGTCTGCCAGAGCCCTGCTGGGGATAAAGAGAAAACAGTGGTTCAGCACACTGCAGAGTGTGGAATAGAATCATGCAATGGTTTGGATTGAAGGGACCTTAAAACTCATCCAGTTCCAACCCCTGCCACAGGCAGGGACACCTTCCCTGTGTCCCAGGGACACCCAGCTTGCTCCAAGCCCCTGTGTCCAACCTGGCCTTGAGCACTGCCAGGGATGGGGCAGCCACAGCTTCTCTGGGCACCCTGTGCCAGCGCCTCAGCACCCTCACAGGGAAGAGCTTCTGTCTAAGAGCTCATCTCAGTCTCCCCTCTGGCAGGTTAAAACAGACTGACAAATACAAGTGAGGAGTGTTAAAAAGGTGACACAGATGGAAATGAAAACACCACCACATGAACATTATGTGCTGTACTTGAAGAGCTCGACTCCAAATACTAGAAATACTGCTAGCAGGACTCCTCTACAATGACCACTCTTAAATGGTCAGCACTAAGCAGGATTTACTGGTTGTAGTCTTTCTTCATACAAGGAATCCCTTCTGCAGGAATACCCACACCTGGTATCAGCAGAGCAAGGTCTCCTCATATCCAAATTCCCACTGACCCATAGAAATTTCAAATCCACTATTCACTGCTCAATCCAGATACAACATCTCAAAACAGGAGGGAGGGAGAAAACACATTTCCTCTGGGTTGTTCATTTAAGTAAAAGAAGAAATGAGAAAAGAGGAAGAAATTCCATGAAGTTGGCACATATGTGCCTGCCCCGAAACCACACAGAATTATGGCCAAACCTGGATGCCTGAATACCACTCCATGGTGTTCACAGAAGCTAATACCCTTTCATTCACCATCTTCCCACATTCTATGCCCAGTGTTAACGGTACTTAAACCTCACCTGATTTTTTCCCTTCTCTCCTCTATGAATTTGATGCTGGGTTTCCTATTTCCCTCCATTTTACGAAGGGGATGACTGTACCTGCACTGATGACTACAAACCCCACCTCACAGGAGACAGTTTTATTCTGGTGATCGGAGGGCTGCCAGCCCAATTTATGAGTGGACATAAGATCTCCAAATCGCAATTTATGTGGTGTAGTATAATGCCAGGTCAATGAGATGAGAAGTATGTTCATGAGAGCTGGAAGGCAATTGGAGTTTCGTGCTTCTGTGCTGATTGGGCATTCAGTCTAAGGAAACCTGTGTTAATAACACACTTGCAGGCCCTGGGAACAAGCTGCACATTATTCATTATTGCAGCCTGCCTTCACCAACACCCCCTCACCATAAAAAGAGAGGAAGAGAGGGGGAAAAGCAGCTCTCCCCCTCCTCCCTATTCAGACGAAGCCATCAGGGAGGTAGTGCCATTGATAATGAATGGGCTGAATTAACAACAGAAACACTTTGCTTCCTTATCATATGGTTCACATAATCAAAATGGGAAGGGGGAATGACAGGGGAGAAGAAAGGTCTGAGCCTCACATATGGGTCTCCCCCACCAACTGGAAAATATATGGACTAAACACAGCCCAGCAGCTTCTAGTCACATACAGAGTAATCCCCTTGCCTTTAAGGAACCCTGTTTATTGAAGAAACAACACCCTACAAAGCTTAAACACCATGCTTAAAGGAGTCTTAGCCAGGTCACACAGGCTTGGGTAGGTCACTGGAATCAGAGCAAACCTCAGTGATTGGTAGACATGGGCCTTGGAGCTGCACTGGATCTAGGGCCAAAAAGAACACAGGCTGGCCTTCAGAACAGGGCTGGGCTGGCCCACAGGTTGGATGCAGCAAGTCCTGCAAACTTAAGTTCAAATTCAAGTACCTACCAGGGCTGGAACCCAGACCAAGGTTTAGGTTCAATACCTATCATGGTAACTTTCAAGTGAAGCTCAGAGTTTGAGCAGAAGTTACGTGTGGGCTCAAAGCTGTTTGCTTCTATCATTCTAATTCACGCTGTGTCTCCCTGCAAATAACTCCTAGTTCAAGCCCAAATCAAACTCCTCATCTTGCTTTGTCATCACACCCAAACTCCCAACTACTCCTACCTAACACAGGAATACTGCCACCCTTCAGATAACACAAAGCACCATGTAAACAGAGAACCTCCAACAAATCCAAAAGTCATCATCTTTCCCGTTTAAGATGTTTCATTCTTCATCAATGCTTCTTTTCCTCATCACTGTAATAAAGATTTTAATTGAAGAAACATCACAGGATGCAATCATTTGGTGGTAGGGAAAACGTTCCCTGCTTTGTGTCCATATGAACTCTAAAATAACTGAACATCTTGCACTCCTTTCCCCGTGCAAGTACAAGGCCCAAATTCACTGTGCCCTGATTTAAGAAAGGCTGAGAATCTATAGTTCCAGTATACCTCAGTAATTGCTGCAGGTGCCCAGCACTGAATATTAAGCACAACTCCTGAAAACAATAGAGCAGAAGCATCTGGAATTCAACACCAGCAGCCCTGAGGACAAAGGAAGGATGTGAAGGAAGGAGCCTGGAATGGGACAGGGGCAAGAAGAGATGCCAGGGACCTGGTATTTTTCTGCGCATTTCCATCGGGAAAGGTTCACAATGTTGCCCTTGGGACTATTCCAACCCCTATGCAATGAAATCCCAACTCAGAGATCCCTGTGCACCCACAGAGCCATTACTGCTGAAGGGGCCAGAAACTGTTGAGTAAACCCATCTCTGATAGGCAGGGAGATACCAGGATGTTCCTGGTTCATTGCTGTTTAATCTGCTGTGTTGGCAGGCAGGGCACAGGGCCAGGAAAAGTTCCCACTGCCTCGGCTCCAGGGGTGGACTGGCCTCAGAATGTAGACAAATAAAAGCAGAAACGCAAAGCGCCAGCAGCACCAATCTGATTACAGAGTCATTTATTTTCTGGTCGTTAATAATTTGTGCAATAAAAGATTGCGTGCCTTTCTGAGTTAGTAGGAGTTATTGGCACCAATTCCCCTCCACACTGGTGTGAGTCTGTGCTTGGAACATAAATTATTAGTTTCTTATCGCACTCCTCCTCATTTTTCATGCTGCCACAGCTCGATCGCCAGAAGCCAACCCCTCGCTCTCGCTCTCATTTTATGCTGGGTGAGAAAGGCAGCAGAGATGGCTATTCCATCTTTAATCCCACAAACTCACTTTTGCACTGCTTCTCCCCCAGTTTTCCTCCCCATCTTCATGCTGACTGGTGTGTGCACTGAGTTGTGTGTGTCCCCCAGTATCTGAGGAGTCAGGCAGGTATTCCTGCCATTCTGAACCTCCTAATGAAAGCCCTGTTCTTTGACACCACTCAGAGTGAGGAAGTGACAGGCTCCCACCATCCTGCCAGCCCCTGCTGGGTATCTATTTGGAATAGTAGCATGTATCTCAGTGGGAGGATAAAAGGAGACTGGAATTCTTACCCTCCTTGAAAGAGTGGGAGGAAGGTGCTGGCACAGAGTCAGGCTGTACACGAGGTGGTTGGATCTCCATTACAGGTTAAGAGGTTTGAGTCTTCAATGTAGCTGAGGAAATGCTCAGGCTTTCTCTTCCTACAGCATTAAGCAAGGGAATGATAAAACACCTCAACATTCCTCCGTAAAATGGATTATTTACTCACGCTTCCAAAGTATGTGAAATTCAGTTACACTAAGCATTAGATCTCATTTAAAGGATATCAAAGCATCCTTCTTGTTTCTCTGACACACGGCGCTGAAATGCTCTTTAGCAATGTTGATTGCTTTGTTAAATACAGCAGCCACACACAAACCACACTAAAACTCTTGGACCTTTCCATATGTTGGCCTCATGATCTTCCCCATTCAACATGTCTCTTTCAATTGTGTCCCAGGAACGTCTGCACCAACATCTGCTGAAGTTCAAAAGGAACACTGACACATTCAGGCGACAGAGCATGTCTGGCAACTGCAAACATACTTGCTAAGGGCTGTGCAAACCATAAGCATCTACATATAAGTGAAGTCAGGAGGTGAAGGAGTAGCTTTGCTTTCACTGAAACACAACTACTCACCAGCTGAGAGTGCTTTTCTAAGCAGCACCCCTTCACTGCAGTCTTTAGATTCACATTCTCCTACTCTCTCCTTACACACTCCACTGGCAACTCTAGTCACAGCCTCTGGTTACAGCCAAAGCCCACTGCTCTCCCTCCCCAGCTCCTGAACTGCTGAATTCCTGCTGCATAAACCAGGTTGGGAAAGGCAAAAATGACTGTGAGTAAAGGAAATGTCTCTCTTACAAAGGGTGTACATGCCACAAGCTCCTCTGGAGCCACAGGCTGGAGATCACAATGTGTTTTATTCAGCTTTACAGAATCCTTTCTCCTGCCAGTATGGCAAAGCACAAGCTGCCCTACAGAAGCAGGATGTTGTCCATCAATAACAGAATGATGTGGCGTGCCCAGGGCACCCCTGTGTACGTATGTATGTTACAAGAAACACATACTCCTCCATTGCAAGAAGATTTATAACAGGAGTCTTGGGCAGGCACAGCACTCATATAAGGGTGTATTGTCAGTTCAAGAGTGATGGATGGCTCAGTGCTGGGCATGCCTCTGGTGATTATACTGCACTAGTGAGTCACCCATCATTTCCAAATGATGCTTATGTCTACAGGGTAACAGCCAACACATCCACGGTTCACAATACGTTCCAAATGACCACCCTGAATCCTTATCATCTGCTGAAGGAGCGTCACTAGGGCTGCTTCACTGGGTTAATTTCTGTCTGAACCAAAGAGCAGTCTTCTCCCCCCAGCACAGCTAAAACCTCACCAGCCACCAGCACGTAAGAGAGCTGCAGCACACCATCCCCACCATGTGTAGCAGGAAGCCCATGTGCTGCAGAACATCCCCCCAGGCTGCTATCAAGCTGAAGCATTGCTCCACAAACCCCCAGCCCACCTACCACCATCTCAGTGTGTACCTCTGTGAGATAACTCCCTGCTTTCCCTATAGGAAAAGAGGCTGTTGAAAATGTTAGCACAGGAGGGAGTGGAGCTGCAGTCATGTCACAGCTGTAATAGGTATATTTAAACCTAAAAATGAATGAAATCAGAATAGTTGCATGATCATTTAACAGATCTGTCCTTGAAAAGAAATGCAAAGCCAGGAACACCAGCATCACAGAACTCCTTCAGAGCAGAGATTTATAGATCACAGCAGCAACCTCTCAGGTCTGTCACAAATTTACACTAATGGACAGCAAAAAGAATCTTTACATTAACAAAAGCAGTGATTCTGCGCTCTGCATGTGCTGCTCCTGGTTACTGGATACAAATCCTGGGCTTTTCCCTGATTTTCCCACTCCCAGATTTACATATCCCATGCTGTCTCCATCACAATCATAGTCGCGCTCAGTTTGCACTCTCCAGTTTAAAGCTGCAGACTAAAATAGACAAAACATCTAGTCCCTTTGCAAATCAAGCATCAGCATAGGACTGGAAGCAGATACTGAAAATAAGTGAGTAAGCAGAAGGTTACCTGACTGCAGAAAGACCCAGAAGGAAGAATGAAATAGAGCCACCAAATCGACTGAGAGGGTACCCGAAATCAGGGCTTCTGATTCACTGCATTCAGAAGAAAGGCCGACTGTCCCTCAGGATCTGAGAATCCGAACTCCTGGGAAATTTATTTTGAACCCATTGCACAGGCAAGTTTCCATCCTTGGAGAGAAAAACACTGAAAAACCCCCACTGATCAGAAATCTCAGGCCTTCACCAGGCCCCCAGATTGTCTCACATTAGAAGACAGTTCTCAAGGGCTCTGACACGCACATCTTCCTGTGATTAAACAGTTTTAAGGTATTCATCACTCCTTTTCCCACTTCTCAAGAGAATACCCTTTATCTCAGCCCATTCCAGATTTGTTTTGCTGCTATCACCACCTTCCAAGGCCATGCTTTCTGTAGAACAAGCTGGCAGCACGCCACAGGCAGCACTTGTCAAAACACCATCTCCATGCTGCCTCTTGGAGGACCCACACCTGCAACATCTCAGTACCCTCCCCAATTCCTTCCTTACATCCCTCACAGACAGCTGGCCAAACACTGATGCAAAAGCTGGAACCAAACTGCAGAAGTGCTTAAAACATCTAGTGAAGCAATAGCAAGACACTGAGGAGAGGTTACAACAGAACTTGTCCAGCAAAGTGTCTGGGGATTTAAAAGCAGCAGACACATACCTCAAGAACTACCTAACATCCCACACAGAACTGGACTTCAGTGTCCAGTTAAAGGTTAAAAGCAGGCTGACAGTTCTGCAGCTGAGCAGCCGTGTTGCAAACCCTTCTCAAAGTAGTCCCTGGAAATCCGGTCTGCATCCTTTGCTCAAAGCTTGCCAGCTTAATCTGAATAACAACACAGAAATGGGCCCTAGAAGGCTAAATGCTATTGAAGTAAGGCCAGCCAGGAAGATAAATTGAGCAGCACGCGTGGCTGAGGCCTTTTAAAAGAAACACTGCACTTCCTATTTCCACATCTTGAAATCTCAACCCTGGCACGAGTTCCTCAGTCTCACTCTTCCCAAGAGATCAGCACTTCAAGCAGACATCTGTCTCCGCATCCCTTTCTCTTCCCTACAGCCAGCAAGCCACTGGTTGAATTCATGGCACTTCTTTGCACAGCAACAGCAACCATCATCTGAAGCTCATGAAACACTTGGCAAACAGTCCTTTCTCAGCTTTCCAGTAGTACTGTGGGGAGCCACGGAAGCATCAAACATGGGCAAATATTAGCATGAGTTCTGATGGGCATGGCAGTAATGTCCAAGCCTTCCCATGCTTTCAGAGCTGTGCCCCAAAGCACCAAGAACCTCATCACAACATTCTGCCATTCAATATTCTTGACTGTTGCAGTACACAGATGGATTTCTGCATCAATTTCTTCTACTTATTCTCCTTTTGGTTTTACTTCAGTTCAAGCTGATGAACGTTTGCTGCCTTACAGTTCTGTGCACAAAGATGCAGAGAAACCAACTTATTACCCTCAACTTGCCTGTGGAATAAGGCAGGCACAGAGCAAGCATTTGGCATTTCAGAAGCAGGAGACAGGAGCAGCAGACAACTCTGCTGGCAGACAGCTCCACAATGACCAGACTGTTCTAAAATGGACTGTGCACATTATACCTACTAAGCATAAAGTAATTAATTCGTTTTGTTATATACAATACTTTATCAGTTCTAGAAAGGGAATTGTTCTCCCCCCATTTCTCCCACCCTTCCCAGGGTGAGCTTTCCACATATCTCCTGAAAAATCTGCCACTGTGCACTGCACAGGCTGCATTGCACTTAATGAGGCACTTCAGGTTCAATGAGGTCCTTCATCTTTTCAGTTCTAGCTCTGTGCTTCTCCCTTCCAGGCATCTAAGTTGGCTCCTGCACGATCTTCATTATGGTACTTCTTTTTCCTTAAGTCACAGCTCCATGGTTTCTCTGCCTCCTGCCTCAGGGGTTAGAGCTCTGGGGTTCTGGTCCCAGATCTGTCACGGAGCTTTTGTGACCATGACAATAAGCCAGGAAAGTGGCATTTTTCAAACTTGGGTGCCTAAATTTACTGAGATGCTTTACATCCATAGCTCACATTAACAAACAGCAGTAACGATGACAGAATCCAGTGTCTCACACTTCTGTCCCCCCTCCCTCTTTCCCATTTCATTAAGTCCAAATCTGCATCTCCTCCTTACTTCAACAGCCAAAGCTAACACAAGCTTTACCTTCAAGCCCAGTATAACCCATACTCCCAGTCCTTCTGGAAGCTACACTCTTACTGCCAACAAAACCTTCCCTAAAGGCTAAATGAGAACCGTAGAGCTGAGTTTCTGCTATCGAGCAATGCACTGACCCACCTTCCCTAATCCTTTCACCATACACCACCAGAGCAGGAAACAAAATTCCTTCATTTTCTTCCTTGGGATCCACAAGGAAGAAAATTAAAGCATCTGATCTCACCGATCTCACAACAGGTCCATAAAGCAGGAAAACTGAACCTTCCAACCTAATACTTTATGCACATGCCTTTCCTACAAACCCCTCATAAAAGGCTCTCTTTATGGTAATCTGTATGGTGACTACACACCTTTTTTTTCTTTAAAGCTATAGCTGTGTAACATTTCACTGTTTAGTGCTGTGAGTGAATCCGCAGGGAGACAAAACAATACCATAGTGCACACGTACGGCTCTCCATCAGATGGACTTTGTGAGTAATCCGATTATCTCTCCTATGAAATCAAAACAGCCGGGGAGACGGGGGTTACCCTAATCCTAGCGCCATCTCTGGGAACGGCTGATCGTGCACAACTCCTTAACAATGGGAATTAGAGCAGGGTTTTCCCGTTGGTAACTAACTCCTCCACCGCCGCGGGTCCCACCGAGGCACCGGGTCGGGGTCCCAGCCCGCCTCGATGCGGCTGTGGAGGAGGGAAGAAGCAGCCGAGCGGGACGGCGCCTGGGGCCGGGCTCCGGCAGCCGCTGCCTGGGGCCGGCCGGGGCTGGCGCCTCCCGTCCCCCCCCGGGGCGCTGCCGCCGCCGCCGCGGTTGGAGTCGCCC